CAGTTTGAGGTAGGGTTAGATAGAGCTGGATTTCGCGTTTCCAAGAAGTATTGAAATTGCTCTGAAAGCCTTCCATGCAGAAAGATAGGGTCTCTCAAATTTCGTCGAGTAAACGTCGAGGACGCTGAAATTTTCATGCGAGTTTTTGCCACTTCAAAAGCAATATCTCTCTAATTCGTAAGATCCTGAAAAAGGGAAGATAGTTTTGGAAAGCGGAAGGTTTGCGCTTTCTGATGGTCTGTTAGCTTTCTTCTACATTTCCTAGTTGAGAAGATATCTTGCGTCGAGTATCTATCGAGGACGGATCCGGCCACCTGAAAATCCGCTCCCTTCTTCACCATTGCAAGTGTGATTCGTTGGCAACACTCGAAATGTGTCTAGAACAAATCTTTCCAACATAAGCAATAAGAAAAGGGGCAATCGTCATCATCCGATTTTGTCTGGTATAGGCCATGCATCCGACCTCCACTCGAAGTTGCAGAATCGATTGAAAGGTGTTATATGATCATGACCAGTTGACAGAAGCTGCATTGTAGTAAACACATTTCGTAACTCCTACAACCTGAAGAACAACTTCATTTGCCCAGGGCTTTTCCTTCACGGTTGTCGTTTTTGCGACAGGGTCCCTAACAACAGTGTCATTCTCAGCGAGGTATTAAGGGAGAAGGAGCGAGCGATAGGCAGAGGAGGTGCCTTTGCAGCGCGTGCGCACATGTGGCAGTCTTCTTTGCGGGGATGCACTTTCATTCTTTGTACTGCCTTCAAATACGCCCTTCTCATGAAGGTGGAGGAATGGAGCGACTGAACCTGCAAAGAAAATTTAATATCATGTTTTTTTCAGATATTTTCATTTTCTGCTGCGCTATACCCTCTTACCTATCTGCACCACGATACCACTGCTGTTACTGACCCCCAAGAGTACGACCCCCCATGACCCAGCCCACAGGTACGACCCCCCTGTCGAGGATTTCCTCGACCGATATTCACCCTGCACCGAAGTCAGCTCCTTCGGTGCCAATTGCGCTTCAATTCGCACCCTAGGAGGTCCGCGGGTCCCTCAACTAGGTGAATTACTCCTTCTTCGACCTTCATTCTAATCGTGAATTCGTCCATTAAAGTGTTCAATTTTGTAGAACAGAGACAAAACGGACGATAGAATATTATACAAAAGTGTGAGATGTTAGTGCAATAAGTCAAAAGGTCAAAAGAGTTTCTAGTGACAGCACTCCGAGAACCAAGTGGAAGCGTTCCCGTCGCCAGCATTTGTGACAGATGTTCGGTGGGAATTTGAACACGAAGCAGTCACGGTCTTCCTAATTGTTTATTTTATTTATTTATTTATTTGTTGATTTATTTATAACGTTGTGCATAAGGCAAACGCAAGACTCAGTAAATATTAAGGCTCACTAAAGCTCAACATTTGCTTCTTACTTAGACGCTTGAAAAGTCGGAAGGTTAGAGGCGATATCACTACTGTAGTTTTAAGAGAAGTGAATTCAGATCCTGCACGACAAGCAAAGCTATAACGTTTTAGATTCGTTTTAGGAGTGGCATAGGATATTTTTACTGACCACCCTCTAGTTCTAGAGTTGACCAGACCAAAGAATTTGGAAGCATCAATTTTGGCAATACCAGACAACAACTTAAAGACCATGCAGACATCAAAATATTTCCTACGAGAGCAAAGCGAATGTAAATGGTAATCTCGATTCCTGCGAGATTACCATTTACATTCGATTTATTTTATTGTTTGTTTTGTTTGTTTTCCGGGAAAGACACCACCTCTTCGGTTCCCTTGAAGGCAACCGAAGAGGTGGTGTCCACTCAAACGGCCGACCAGCATTCTCTGAACTAGTGGTGATTTAGTATAATACTTATCGATTAACTTGCTTTCTACATGCACCCAACAGACGGTTTCTATTATTACGTACACGGAAGCAGAAAGCAGCTTGTGCGGCTCTACACTGGCGTACCAGCTTGAGAGTTTCTGAAGAAATACGTCTCTTAGTAACTTCCAAAATTCCAGCTTCTTTAGCACTATAAAGCAGATGCTTGGCGAGCCGATGGTTAATTTGGGTGACGGTCTTTTGGCTCGTTCTCCAGGCGCTGTGTAGAAAAGTTTAGCAGAAAACAGCTTGTGCGGCTTTAGTACACTGGCTTACGACGTCGATCAAGCAAAAGCTTTATGACGTGTTCTACATCACTGCAGAACAACGTATAACATAGCTGTTTAACAGTATTAGTTGTTTGTTTTCCGGGAAAGATGAGGGACCCACGGACCTCCTGATGAGGGCAGGTAGTGTGGAATGTAGGACATCCACCGGTCCTTATCAAAAGTACGCTCGAAATGAGTCGTTCACTTATTATCTTATCCGTAGTGTTCGATAGCCCAAAGAACTGCTCTCTAGTACTACGGATAAGATAGCAATGGAGTGGCCCCCCGAACTGGAGTTTCACCGAAAGCTTGAATCCTGTAGTTTATTATACGTGTTCAGCTTCCCAAATGAATGACTTTGAAGGAAGTTATGATCGTTTGAAGGTCAAAAAGTCGCCTTTGCACAGAAAAAAGTAACAACGTACTAAATTTTTATAAATTAACTTTCGAAGAATTTTTACCCATGGTTGGAGAGAGAATAATTTGAATTTTCCAAATCAAATCACTTCGGCGCAGAAGCTCGAATATGAAGGAAGTTATAGCCCTAGAAAGAGGAGTGTAAAAATTGTGTTGCAATTTTATTTTTTGCTAATAACTTATTCATTCCGAAGTGTTTGAGAACAAATGAGCACTCGTTAGGAAGGAGGAGCCACGTCGATCCAAAATCCACCTGAATCTTCCGAACTACCTGAAATGTAAAAAAAAACTCCTCGAATTTTCACATCCCCGTTCGACGCCTCTTCACCGTGAGCAAATGCGCTCCACCGTCAGGAGGCCAAAGGGACTTACGTAGCAATAAATATTGATGGCAACACTGTCTCTACACAAGTGTTACATACAAGGGGGGGGTCGTATCAAATCACCCATGAAGGGGGGGGGTCGTAAAAAATTTCCAAAGAGTAACAACGATAGGGTTGACCCTGCTCTAAACTCCCATTGAGTGACTCCAATTGACTGCCAGCAACTTGTCGTTTTTGCAGAGCCACGACTGCCAATGTTCACTTCACCGAAGGAATTGCTTTTGTGATGACGTAATAAGGGGACAAGTGACAGAAGGGAGGAAGTGAGTCTTAGCTACCTCATCATGCTCAAACGTTGGACAACCGCTTGACAAGCGTTTGACACGCATACAAAAACAAAGATCTGGTGAGCTGCAGCAAAACTGGTGATATCGCCGGAGGCGCTTACAAAACGATGAGAAAAAACAAAAGCAACACTGAGAAGCCATCACATGATAGTCAATTGAATGGGTCCAACTGTGTGGGAGGGCGGCTAGATGAATGCCCAACCTGTGCATCATCAACAAGAGCCCGAGTCACAACAGCATCAAGCCAATGTCAGAATTTGCGAATCGCGCGATTCGCTAGCGTCTGCGGTCGCGTCGCGGCCAGTGAATCACTCAATTGGCTGGTACCGCAACGCGACCGCGAACGCTAGCGACTCGCTCGTTTACGGCTAATTATGAAATCACCTACAGTAACCCTTTTGTCATCAACACTTGTGGAAGGGCTACGAGACCATCTCATAGTAATGAGTGATTATGATCATTTGAATAAGTGAACATTTTGACAAATGCTCACTTCGTTTGTCCTTTAGTACATTTCGCATTGCTAAGGGGGAACATAGCAATGCAGATAAATGAAGTGGGGATAAAGCAGTAGCGCTTGAGACGCACAGCAGTGATCACAAAAGGGATGGGCTTGTAAGGAATTTTTGGGCAAGCGTGGGTTTCATGAAATATGAGAAACCTCAATTTCAATACTGAGTTCCTCTCCGATAGCAGCAGAATCTCATTATTTTCCAGAAATTCAAAACCGCTAGAAAGTACTCGGCGACAAAGTGCCAAATGTTCTTTCAGATTAGAAATTCGGAGGGCGGGGGTTCGTACCTCAATGTTTTGCTTGACGTCTTGCTTGACCCTGCTCTCACGATTAGTTATCACCAGTTTTTCTCCAGCTTATGAAGCGTGCATGGACGTGTGCTTTAACAATGAATTATTTTCAAGATTTTCTTCAGACCTCGCCTTACGATTCACCCCCCAAGGACGGAGAACTTTTGTATAACGCGAAGGTAGGGACTGTCCTTTTTGTCAATCCGTCACTTACAAAAACTAGTGAAATCAGTATGAATGGAGGTACCGTAAAGCACTGGATTTAATCAATCACTTTGGGATGCGCCACGCTTCCATTCAGAATGTACTGATTTGGATGCGATTTTGCCCTTACAAGAACTTGGGCGATCGTTGATGATGTACAAGTCAGTGTTTTTATTCTCCCAACAAGTCTGGTACCAATTAACCGACCCCGGAGGGATGGAAGGCTTGGTTGGCCCGGGCGACTCACGACCCAGGATTTGATCCCCGGACCGCGCGCACGGTAGCAGCACCACCTGCCTCTATACCAGTTTCGCATACCAGAATAGCAGCTTTTATTTCAACCATTCCTCCCATAGGTTTTCCATTCAATGCCACTCACTTTTGACATATTGGTGTGCAAATCCTCTAATCTATTAAGGTCTACGGTTGCTGGCCGGACCAAAGGTGTTTTGGAGATTTCTAGGGCTCACCATCGATCTCGGTCTTTCGCCTACATCTTTCCCCTCTCTCGCCACGAAATCTCGGGTCGCCGTGCGTCTCCTTTTGTTTCTAATCCCCACCGAAATTAGGCCAGCGCCTCCCATTGTTTCATTTCACTGAGTTAATCAGCCACCGATCGGGATACCTTTCACTGTCATTGCGATTCTGTTATCAGAATATCCACTTAGTGAATTCCGTTCTACCGCGCAAGTCCATTGATCATCAATGAAATATTCATTATTTTCCCTTTTTATAAATCCTTTTCCAGAAATGCTTTTTCTGGTTTTAATGCTGGCGGCAATACCACTGTCAAGAGCGGCCAGTTGCGGCTCTTCTGCAATGCCATTCAGATTTGAGGTTGCTTTCACATCTTGAGAAATGTGCTCTTTAAAGCTACGAGATTTTTTTGAACAGTGAAATATATCGTTTTTGTCAGGTATTACCATCCGGGAATCCCGTATTAGGTTGTGCTACACCGTCGTGTTTCGGAGGTGGGCCAGGAGGGTCTGAAAGTCTCAGTGACGCCATTTTTCAGGTACTTGTTTTTATGGTCTTTATGCTGTGCAAGTGTAGTGGAATGCAGTGTTTTGACCAGGGTGTTTTCGTCAGAGCTAAGCCTTTGAACCCTTTATAGATTGGTCAAAGGCAGCGCTTACTCTTAAAATGCTAGAGAGGTCCAAAGGGGACGGGGGGGGAGAGAAACTGTCAAGGAAATGCGGAAGGAACCGCTCGTTCGCGACTCCTTTCGGGGCGGTTGTCTAGCGGCTAAGACGGTGGACGTAAAGATGAGCGTTGGTGGCACCTTACCACCGTGCTCCAGTTGTAGCGCTGATGGCAACACAGCTCGTCCAAATCACCAACTAAACTAGTGGGCGGATCGCTTTTGGGGGGGAGTGCTTTCGAAGTCCTGCTCAGCAACCAGCGCACCTTTCGTCGTGAAGCGCCACACTCGCTTCCTTGGCAGCCAAGTAACTGCTTCGTGTGGTGCATATGCTCTCCCCGATGCGCTCCCTCTTTATCGTAATCGCTTCTCTCATGGCAGCACTCATTCTTGATACCACTAACTGTTGCAAATTCCAATGAAATTCCATACTAAAAAAAAGAATAAAAGCTTGATCTATGGTAAGAATCAAACTTCGGGTTGATCGTGAGTGGGCTAATCAAGCCTTCCTTCTCTTTTCTCTTCGGGGTCGATCAATTGATACTAAACCTGCGTGGCAGGAAAAACACCCACCTTCACATGTGCTCTCGTCTTGAGCGTCGGCATTTTCTCGTTGTTGTTGTATTTGTAAATTTTACTTCTGCCTCGAGTTGTTAGGTGGAAATCTTTATTTTGGCCAACGTTTCGACCGTCTCGTCGTTTTCAAGGCCTGAAAATGGCTCAAAGCTTACGAATTGAACACTACCCCACCAAACGCCTTCTCCGCTCTAGCGTTTCTGACGTTCCGCCAGGAACGCACGGAAAAATGCCCAAAATTCGAAAAATAAGCTCACCTTATTTCCACCGTAAGTGTAGCAGGCTGCTACACACAGTCAATACATTAGTAGCGAATGACCTTACTTTGCTGACTTTGCAGTTATAATATTGCGGACAAGCACGTTCGCAAATTAGGATTGTAACTCGCAATATTGCATGTACTCGATATCCGATAGTTGGGGTACGTAAGGCGTGACGTGCACTTGATAGAAGTTGCGTGGATAAGCTGTTGCCAACATACATCGCTGGATATCAGCAAAGCATGCTGGCAACAGCTTTATCCACGCAACTTCTATCAAGTGCACGTCACTTCCGGTGACACACCTACCCCAACTTTCGGATATCGACTGTAAACGGCAAGAGGTCATTTGTAATTGACACACACTTCTTTCGATTGTTCATGGATTTCTAACTGAAATCCACAACTCTTCCAGACCTTTCTTCGATGAGATCTCCTTCTCGTGAGCCAATATCGTGCACCTGAAGTCGTTGCCACTATGCTGTTCTACTCGCATCTACATGTAGTACATGTACTGTCGGTATATAGATGACTGCTGTATCGTACTTCAACACAGTCCGAAATGGATGAGTGTTTCCGCACAATGAATGAGCAGTCACCGTACATCAGGCTCACACGAGAGAAACCACAAGACGGTTGGCTCCCTACCTCAACACGCAGGTTAGAGTGTCTAGCGGCATCGTACACGTGAAGTGGTACCGGAAACGAAACTCTAAGAACATCTTGATTCATGCAACATCTACATTACCATCCGTTGTTAAACGTGCTGTCATCAGGAAGATGTATGGAAGCTACAGACATGTGCAGCGACTGAACGAACGCAAAGAATCAAGGCGAATAGCTTCGAGTATAGCTCGGTCTAATGGCTATACGGTATCACCTAACATAGGAAGGTCTTACGCTGATAGTCGAAATACTCTGCGCCAAAATAAACTTCCTCTATGCTTACCATTCATCTCTGACAAAATATCTGCTGCAATACAACGATGTATTGTTCGCGCACAATTGAGCGATGATGTTGTTCTAGTTAACATTCCGAATGATAACATCAAACGCCAATTGTGAGGAACAGGCTCCGTGAAACAGGTTTGCTCAACAGGAGGTTGTGTTATATGCCTAATCGGTAAAAATGGATGGGTTTCCATGGGCGTGATTTATCAGATTCACTGTGAGGCATGTAATTCAACCCATAATAAGGGAAAATGGAAGGGTTTTGTCAGTGCGAAAAGAAGACATAGCTGGTAAACGGTGCAGTAATGTGTGTACCCCGTTAGGGAAACACCGAGTAGAACAGCATGGTGGCAACGACATCAGGTGCCCGATAGGCTCACGAGAAGGAGATTTCATCAAAAGCGTTGGAAGCGTTCTGGATTTCATCCAGAAATCTAGACATGAACCACCGGAACGAGTGTGTGTTTTATTTATTTATTTAGCTCTTGTTTACAATTGAAGCACAGGAATATAATGAATAATCAATTGAAACACAAAATGACAATAGTAAAAGTGAAAAAAATGTAGTACATGGATGATAATGACAGAAATTATGAATTAGGAGCACGTCTCATAAGATAAAAGAAACAAAATGTCAAACTTGGTGGGGTAGCATTCAATTCGTAATCTTTGAGCCATTTTTGGCCTTGAAATGACGAGACGGTCGAAACGTTGGCCAAAATAAAGATTTCCACCTAACAATCGAGGCAGAAGTAAAAGTTACAAATACAACAACTGACCTTTACGTCAAATGGCCCCCCAAGTCATTGCATATGCCATTCAACCACCGCGTCTGAGCGGAAGTACAATAGGACGGGTGAAGCATCACACTAATTAATGATTAGCCCTAGGCTGGTGTCAGAGTCCTGGTGTCAGTGTCACGAGATTCGCGCATATCGCGCGACGGATTACAGAAATCACAAGTGCCCCGATCAATACTGCAAGGTCAGATAGCGATACACGCCATTTCAGCCAAGCGCTGAAGGTGAGGACGGCTTCTTGCGCGAAGGAGATCAGCAGCGGACCCATACTCGGCTTTCCTCTGCTCCAGCTCAACAGGCTCAATGTCCTAGCGGTTTCGAATCGAACTCGTGCTCATTCAACGACAGATCATGGGTTGGCGGATTTCTGGCCAGCCCAGATGGAAGGTAAATATTCTAATTCCACAGGAGTACCTAACCTTACTGTTGACGATTTATATCTTAGTCTTCGGCTCCAGTGCTGCACATATGACGGAATGCGTTTTGCTGAGGAAGTTGGACGACCAATCGTTCATAGTGGCGAGGTTTACAGCGGAGGTAATCGCTATTGAGTACCTGAATCAGTCTATCAATAATCTTGTTGAGTCAGCGGAGAAGGATTTGGTTTTGTGTCTGTTGGGCGAGAGGAAAGACAGCAGTGCGGGGAGTACAAAAAGCAAAAGAAAGGCGCCGTTGCAAAGCCATGCTCATGTTTGATAGGGCCGATGCAAGACTGCACGTCGCTTTTCACAAGGCTTGACATCGGCCATACATTGATGGCAGTGCGGCTCATTGTGCTCCCGCCGTCACCGGGTAACCCATAGAGAGTTGTGGCTCCTTTTAGGGGCATAACCGAAACAAAGTCTGCCTGCCATGTTGAAGCGTTCCATAGTTGCGCACAGTGGCGCACTTTGAGCGACTTTATTGAAAAATTCTAATCACATGTGGTTCCTATTCTTTTTGCTAGGTGATGCCGCGTGTATTATTAGGTCTGCAATTACTGTAGTTCAACGAATTTGCCAAATGGCCTTTCGAATAGCTGCCCAACATTCTTGGCACAACGCAGAAAAATTCGTGATCGCATCATCACCCAAACGGCTTGGCAAAGAAACATTTTCCCTCACATACTTCACCATCGACCTTCCTACACTGGGTCAAATACAGTGGGATGGGCACGCCATGTTTTTTGAATACGGTAGCCGCGAAATGTATGTAAGCGAAATCTACTGCCAGAGTCAACCCTGCGTTGCGCAGTTCTCAACGGCCACGTTGCGCAGTTTCGCCCGATTAGACACGTTCTCTCGCGCGAACATTCACACTCGCATGCTCGAGCCGTCTGTGTCTCCGCCCATACAGCGTGCGTTGAGGATCTCTCGACGTGCCGTTGCGAACTGCGCAACGCAGGGTTGACTCTGTCTACTGCTCGCTTATCTGAGAGTTGAGGGAATTCGTGAGCCAGGGGAGTGTAGCCCATCTAGGGAGGGGGAGGGGGTGAGGGCAGTCACTTGACATGCGTGAAAGCTGGGATGTGTGAGTTACTTTATAGCGCCTCGTCACGTCATCGTAGTGGGCAGCGGTCTTCACCTACATACATTTTGCGCCTTAAGTAATCTTTTTCACAAGATTATAAGTTCAGGAACATAGGGAACGCGGATAAATCTTGGAACGCATCCGTCGACGTGAAATAAAACGTTCGGTCCGCAAATGCATCGCTAACTTCCTATCTCACGCTCAAACATGCAGAAACTTTTCAAAAATATGTTCAATGTCATTTTTACGGCGATAACACATTAGAAAACCCGCTGAAATACCAATAGGCGCAATGCGGCTCAAAGGGGACACACGTCAAGATCATAGGCTAAGCTTCAGGTCTAAGCCTTTGAATAGGGAAAACATGTGAACACAAAACGTGTGCAGAAGCACTTTTAGCATTCTCCGGAGTTCGTCCCTGCTTCCTAGGCTTAGTTCTAGAGGCCTTTCCACAGATTGCTCCCCTCTCCCCTCGAGCCACATTGCGCCTACCACGAAAACTCTCCTTGGAATGATAGCACGCCCCGCAATCAAGTGCCTTTCATTGGATCTAAGTAAAACGGCAGCGCTCAATAAAATACTACCTTTCACTTATTTGGGCAAATTCACTAGAGCATTGAAAAGGAGAAATTCCGAAGCAGGGATTGGGGGATGGAGAAACGAACGACAGCAGTCAAGTGAGATGTTTAAAAAAATTATTTCAATATGCAAAAGAGGCTTCCACTTTGATCTGTGGCCTTCGCGTAAGCCTAAGCAACAGATAGAAAAAATAAACCTTGGTAGATTACTGCACGATTGATACTTGTTACTCCTCCTATTGGGAACACGCATTTTTAACGTTGTTGGTAAAACGATGACTAATACCGGAATGAAGAAAACAACCGAGACACACTCTGAAGCTGGGCAGTCCGGAAAGGCACAAGGTTAACTTAATCTATAATCTCGCCGTATCCAACATCATCCTCATCAACCATTAACAAATCGATGTCTGAGACCACTAATGCTTCATCTTCTTCCTGTCCTTCACTATCGGACTTCTGCGATAATGTTGACAGACTTCTCCTTTTCAGCGCTCATACTGGCGAGCGAGGATGACTAGATTTTCTGGACTATTCGTGACGGTTTTCTTCCCTACTGTAATTCTTCCTGCTGTTAAGCAACCATCAAGGCAGCGTCGATCCAGGCGCAGGCTCGAGGAGGGGGGGGGGGGAATCAGTTGCTGCCGCGGCGCGTGCGGCAGATGGAATTCGTGAGCCAGGGGAATGTAGCCAATTCAGGGAGGTCGAGGGTGAGGGCAGTCACTTGACATGTGTGAGAAGCTGGAATGTTCGAGTTTCCAATGCTTCGCTTAGCCGCGGCTGCGACTGCTCCACCACTTCCCCTTCTTCCCCCCCCCCCCTCCGAGCCACTCGATTCATTTCATTTAATGGCATCAAATGCGCACTACCATCGAACGACAACGGTTGAACAGCATTTTGAACAGCCGGCACGTGTTCGAGCGTGAGACAGGATGCCTCTAGTGCAATTGCGGCGAAGGTTTTATTTCACGTCGACGGAATTCGTACAAGATTATAAGCGTTCAGAACATAGGGTGTATACCGTAACCTTCTCGACGTTGCACTGGGGCGCGCATTCTCACGTGTCATCGATTTTCTCGTCTTCTCTGCACCCTCTCAACGAAGAGAGAATGCGTCGAGCAGGCCCGCGCAGAGTACTATGCGCCGTTTATGTAGAAGGTGGAGGACACAACGCAAGCCGGCTGTCGCCACACGTCGGTGAGGCATTGTGCACTGGAAAGCCTGCAACCGCGCTCTGACGCAAACGTGGGTTACGGTATACATCCTATGTTCCTTAACTTATAATCTTGTTTCTTTTTCCTGGATGCACGAAATGGGTGACAATGTCATAGGAAGGAAGTGGGGCTGCTTACCACGCGCTCTATTAGAGGATCAATCAGATCGTGCGCCGTCTAGACCAACGCCCTTCATTCCTCCAAGCTTGGTTGATTGGTACCATACTCATCTCGGTGGGCTCCATGGGAAGGCTCACCGGCGGTGCGGCGAGCAAGGAAGGCCAGCATCGTCACCAAAACGTTAATACTTGGAGTATTCCAAACATTTATCGCGCTGTTCTTAACTGTGTGATAAGTAAAAGAAGCAGGAATCAAACTCGAATACAGACTTGTTTTGATTCATTTCTACTTGACTGCGTACTCCTAAGGATTTACACAGGAAAGCCTCGACCTCTTCTACCTTTTCGAAAATGCCTATCCCTGATGCGTTGCCTTCCCTCCCTTTGTTAGAGCTTGTCGCGACTGCGACCACAAATCAGCGTCACGAGCACTCCCTCGCGTCTGCGCCGCCGGTGAGGTTTTCTCCCCTCCCCCTCCGGTCTCCTCCTCCTGGTACTGCAGAAACAAAAAAAAATGCAGTAGACCATTTTGAGACCAGTTCTCATTTCACACACCCACATTGTTTCGAGCTAGGTTTCTTTTCAAAACACGCTGAACTATGTCGAACTAATTTTCATGTAACGAATTGATTTTGGGAAAGCATTCACGAATACTAGAGAAAAAAGCCGCGTTCATAGTTCGCGACTCGGGAAATTGGTGCAGACAGTAGGCGATAGGATATTAGGATAGTAGTAGAGTAGGAGATTGCGCTGACAAGATTGGATACGTATCGATTGAAATCGCTGGAGAGTAGTAGGCGACTTCAAGCGAATCGATCAATACATATCTAATCTTGTCAGCGCACTATCCTAATCTACTACTATCCTAATCTCCTACTCTACTACTATCCTACTATCGTAATATCGCAATCTACTACTCTCCGGCGATTTCAATCGATACGTATCTAATCTTGTCAGCGCAATCTCCTACTCTACTACTATCCTAATCTACTACTATCCTCCCCGTCAATACATATGTTTTTCATTGTCGCGTACTATCCTAATCTCCGGAGTCGCGAACTATGAACGCGGCCTTAAATGCGTTTTGGTCGATTCCCCTGAAAATGCACAATCTACTACTCTCGGCGATCCCAATCGATACGTATCCAATCTTGTCAGCGCATCCTACTCTGTTACTATCCTAATAACTTTTCGCCTACTATCCTATTTTCCCAAGTCGCAGACTATCTAAGCAGCCTTACCACTGATGGTTTAGGAGAAGTGCTTCGAGATGGTCGACAGACCGGATTTGATCTTATCTCCAATATAAAGAAAATCGACGCTGAGGATGGCACGTGGGTTTTCGTATTCAATCTGCACACTCTTGAAGAGCCACATTTTTTTACGGCCGGAATGTTATTACTTTTCCTTCTCTCCATTTTTGACGAAATTAATCTATGTTTTCGAGGAAATCTGAAAGATGAACGAAAAGAAAACATATCAAAATAATAACAGCATTATTGAATAAGGAAATAAGAGTGCTATTTGGTGTCAACCCCAATATGAATATTTCAGTACCGCTTACGAGTTGACGGTCATGAGAATGAACTGCTTGCCTGATCCAGCCGAGCCCATTAATGACGGTACCTTTTTCGCTTCCTACTCTCTGCTATCAGCGCATTTCCATCACTGAATTCTATTAGATGTTCAGGATGCTTGAGAACTCCTATCTCTACATTCAGATTACTTTTTTCAAACCAACTGCCAATTAATTGCATAGATTATCTCCATCAGTTACCTACGATTTCTGCACCCTACCATTGATACCCGGAACGGCAGACTCCATCTTGGCTATCTTTTTTACATAGTTTCAGGAGAATAATAGTTATTATTGGACCAATAGTTCATTCAATCGAGAAGTTCTTGCCGCAACGCTCTCTTTGCACATTTTAATACCATAAAGCATAAATGCTACGGCGACAATTTTTCAAACAGTCCCGAAAAGGCATGTCCTTCTCATACCGCTACCTTTCTTTCAGTCGCCTTGGATCCAAACGATATTTCACGAATCCTCGACAAAGTGGGAGAAGTACGATCTCAACCGACCGGTGAAGCACAACAGCCACCCCTGTCCGATTCATACGAAGTACCAGTCAACGAGCAGCCAGCGGCAGCTGAAGAGATCGTTCAGGTTCTTTAGTATAAAGGACTACACCTATGTTCACCGTAATTGCCAATGTCATTTTCAGGTAGGAGAACAAGTGATACCAGTGACTTCTGCCGGTTTTTACTACCCTGTTGCATCCGGAGTGCCGGCATGTTTCACCGGTGACACAATGGTGGAGACACCTTCGGGCATGAAGCGAATGGATCTGCTGAAGATTGGAGACCTTGTGCTAACTGCTGAACTGAACTCGGTTTGTCTGCAACCCTTTTATGGGTGCGACTTCATTATGTCTGCCCTTGTATGCTTCTGCATGTAAGCTTTTAACAAAAATTGCTTCTTCGGTGCTTTGAACCACGTGTGCGGAGCTTGTATGGAGTTAGGGGGTAGAGCTTAACTATAGCGAAAGGCTCCTGGCGATTCTTTTGTGACATAGGGCGACGCAGAATTATGTGTTTGTTCCAATATTCTCTTGTCTATTGGACTCTGTGTGGGCTCATGACTTACCCCTCTAGCGACCGTGGTCGCGCCACGTATAGCGAATCATGTCATTCGCTGTATACGAATGCTTTTAATAGCTAGTAGTGAATTGCCCGATCCGCAAAGTCTCTCATCGGCCGAAAGAAGAGTCGATGCTGAGACGGAAGGAGGGAAAATCAATACATAGGAAGGATTTTGCACTGATTTCGAGACTGGGTTGTTTCAGACCGTGTTCACCCCTGTCACATCTTTCCTACATCGCCTACCTGATACAGTCGCATCATTCATCAGACTACAAACTGAAGACGGAGAGCTTAAACTCACACCACAACATTTCATTTACAAGGTCAGTTTCGAGCCTGTTTACTAGTCACTTTCCTCACCACAATTCTACTTTTCGAAGCTTTTGAACAGCACTCCCTCCTTTTTCTGTGATCCTTGATCTTGAACGGGATCAGTGGGGCTCAGGAATGGCAAAGGTACGAAAAGGCATGAAAACTCATGGGCAGGGTTTTTTTTAATGTGAAGCAGCTGCCATGGTACACATGCTACGGCGGTCGGGCGGAGCTCGTGGCGTTTTGGTTCTCACACAGCAACCCTAAAAGGTCCATACTAGTGCTGCTGTTTTGTGATAAGATGCCTGCGTCCTAGTCGAGAGCATGTAAAGTGTCGCGGAAGCAAAAATTGACCCCGGAAATCCGCTATTAGGATTTGGATAGTCGCCAACTTCAGCCTGACACGCCCATTAGTTTGAAGATCATGTGATTGGCCGTGTGGCCTTGTGCGATTGCGTGTGAACTGGAAGCACGTCGGTAGAAGTGCTGCATGCTTTTTCAGTTGGTTTTGATTGTCTAAATCTATTTTTTGACCGTTTCATTACCATAGTTTCCCAGTTTTGCGTTTTTGAATTCCCTCTTCTATGGACTGGTCTTGTTTCTTTGTTTTTGCTGGCACAAAGCCAGCACTAAACGCCGGCAGAGCAAGCAAATTCGTACAACTCGTCCGGTCCCACCCTTTTCTTGCTTTATAGAAGAGCAGTCTTGTTCGAGGGTTTCATCGACGGTCCTTCGCCCTATTTTTACATATTTTTCATTTTACCCACAATTCGTTTATCCAACGCTTGACCCCACTAGTTCAATCTGGAGTTGTTGCTTCGTAAGCATGCTCTCGAGCCGCTGAATTCTCGCCCAAACAACGCACATATTGGCGCCAAGTGGGACAGAAGTAAAGAAAAAAGGATAAGAAATTCGTCGAAAATGCTCAAAGCAACTATCCCTGATCCATGTGGTGGGGTAACAGCCAGGGTCAAGCGTGCGTTGAGGAATCCTCGACACGTCACAGGGGGGGGGGGGTCGTATTGGCCCGCTGGGGGAAGAGATCGGGCCATTTTGATGCAGTAGGATCATCACCGTCGGAGGACAAACATCAAGGATGAGTCGATGCCAGGCCAGAGGATTTCCAATGAAAATGATATTTCACCCACACAAAATTTTCGTGATTCTGAGGCGTCCGGTAATTCTTAGTTACTTCAGTGTTTTATCACCACACAAGTTAAAGAATCTGAATTTCGCACGCTTTCCAAGAGATATTTCATCTTTCAAGTAAGACCCCGAATCTGAAGGGATGTGAGGTACACGGCGCATCCGAGAAAGGGTCTAGTTGTTGCGCGCGCTTCAACTACGGCTCCTTGGACAAACAACCTCAATTCAGTAAAATCGATTCGAGAAGAATTTTACGCCTTTCCGTGCCCGCTCCTCTCCTCTCCTGGAGGTTCCGTGCGAGTGCGAGCATGGTAGGTGTTGTACAGTCCATCGTGCAATGCGATATGCGTAGTACTGATGCTTTCGGTTTAAATTATATATATATCTGTACACTTTCAGTTGAGGAAAGAGTGCTGAATCTAATGCACTTTTCCTTTCTAGTTTCAAGTCGAAGGAAGAGCGCTAATGATTTCCAAATCTTGGCCCTTAGACTCTGAGGTTACCAGAAACGGCCACTTAAAGGATATCAGCCGTTGGAGAATATGTTGTTAGTAAGGTATGTTGAAAACAGTACCTGTTTTCGGCGGTACTGCGTGCCAAAAATCCTCAACGTATGCCGTTTTTTGCATAACGACATCCTTGTGAGGCTGCGAGTGCAGATTTGAGAGAGCAGCGCATCTCTTCGTGAGTGATTATGATAGCGTATTTGACTCTTTCGACTTGGAGATTGGTGGTTGGACGAGTTATCTGCTCTAAGAAGCGTAAAATAGAGCAGAATCTGCTCATCTGCGAGTCCCGACGATAATTTTCGCATTGGTGTTGGTTTTGGGTCGGGTTAATTTATATATATATATACTGGGCGCATGCTTTGAAATACTGGACGTATAGAGCTGCTTTAGCAATGGTTTGGTAGAGAAAATCTTCTAGTTTTGTCTGCCATTAGTGTATATATCTTTTTCGAATTTGACGAAAATGAAGCAAGTTGTTGCTTCGGAAAGTGTAAAAACTCGTGCTCATCTCGAATTTTCCTCGTTAATTGACCTAAATTTGTTATTTCTTATAACTTTTTGTAATTTCAATACTGATTAGAAAAAGCTCTTCACAAAACTTCCAAATCTGCTTTCAGATTGAAAATTCGTCATATTTGAAGAAAGTTATAATCATTTGAATATTTGTTCAAATTTCAATAGTAAATAAGCTGCTCCACGGTCAACGCCAAAGTCCAGTCAACACACAGCTGGCGAAGGCGGTTAAAAAGCTTCTTTCAACTGAAGGGCTACGTGCAAATTGAGAACCACAATCTGTGTAGTACTAGAATTTGGTAAGTCTTGTGGAGGAAATAAATAAGAACAGATGTTGTCATGGTATGCCATTTTTAGTGGCTAGTTTGTCGTTTTCTGGTCTGTTTCTCGTTTGCTCGTTTGGTAGGACTCATCAATAATGATTATTCTTTGACTTTTTCACTTTTGTACTTCTTAAACGAATTTTTTTGTGGGCGGTGGGGTAGCAGGGCTTTTTTATGAGCAGTTTTGGGGGAGAATTAAACAAGCTTTTCAACCTTTTCATAGTTCGGCTTTTGAAGAGGGTTGTTTCATGGACTTCGGCCTCCGGCGGAGGGTGGTGGGGGGGGGGGGGGGGGGGGGGAGTCGTATTTCCAAATTTTCCTCGAACGCCTCGCTTGACCCTGGTAACAGCGGTCGGTTGTGAAAGTGTGGAGTGCCGTACTTACAAGAATTGAAAAGAAGACATCGATCGATGCCTTTAAAGCAACAATCCAGGAACGAATTCGCGGGTAAGGACCACCTATAATGACGTTGCAGGTGAGAAGTTGGTCAATGGAGAAAGAAAAAGTAGAAAAAACGTCGGGCAGGGGCTTAGACAGGGACTCCCCCTGCCGTTTAGGGAGACGTGTGTTGGACGAGTTGTCCGAACCTGCCCGTAGTACATGCGCTCCAATTGCAACTGCTGGCAAATAGCCATGCATGCTTGCAAATACATAACTATTTGCCAGCAATCGAAATTGAAGCGCTTCAATTGCGTTCTTATGGAATCGACCTCATACAGCGCGGCGGTCCCGCAACGACCGCTAGTCGAGCAAGCGCTCTGCACAGCGTATGTTGGGCGATCCGCCTCTTTATGGGTGATCCGCCCCCTCCAAGAGGACTTCGACCCCTTCCAGCGCATTTTAGAGGTAGGTTTTGAACTTAAAGACATTTCCTATAAACTTTAGTTGGGCTGGGGCATGTTTTGACCGCCTAATGACCAAGTAGTTGAAACCCTGCCTGGACTGTTGCTTTAAACAGTTATTCCTCTTCATCCTTGAAACGAGGCATTCGTGCCAGTTGTCTGAACTTGTTCGCTCTATTGCTCTACCAACTTGCGTGTATTTGAATTAGCCGCTACGGCGTAATCCACGCTGCGGTAATGAAATAGGCGCTAGATTTGTTCCACGGCATTCGCCTACGATGTGAGGCCCTTGGAATTATAATACTCAATTTATTTCACACCTCATCGTAATCAAGTTTCAGTACCTTCACTTTCTCGCTAAAGTTAAGGGGTCTTGTTTTCCAACACAAACAGAGACGTGATCTCACAAGTCATCTCTAGAAAATGATTCCACGATAAGATCGCACTTCGGAAAGGAAAATATATCTTACGGAGAGGCTCTCAAGGATGAGGGACGAGAATGGTTTCGCAGCGAAGAGTATGCCTCAAAGCCCTAGCAGTGCCGCCGCTCGCGCCGCTGCCCGCCCGCCCTCTTGCTTCTTGAATCTGGCTGCTCTACCAAAGAAAGCGTTAGCGTTAAAGAGGGCAACACCGATGAGAGTCGCCCAACGCACAAATCACCGGAAGAGAAGTTCTGGAACGAATTGAACGGTATTTCTTCACCCTTGCATCAAAACATCGACCGTAATTCCTAGAAGGCTGTGTTCTGATCGTGA